CAAGTACTTTAATTAAGGTAAAAATTAGGCTTTTAATTGCGTGATTATTATTCGTGCAAAAAGAATTCCAGCGAACACCAGAGCATTGTTTAATCATGCTGATTCTTATTCAAGGTAATGAATAATTGTCTTATCTGAACGAGTGACAAGCAACTATTGCACTCCCTTCATTCAGCCTAGGGTGTCTTTTCTTTTTTTATTTTTTCTGATGGGTGGTTTTGATACTTAAGGAAATTCTAATTAAGTCATCAATTCTTGGCCGATCCCCCGAGTGGTTACGAGCCATGTCTGTGCAATTATCATCTTCATCATCATCAGCTTGCCCGACGAACGGGTGTTGTGTCTGTCTCGCTTATTACAATGGCGCAGCCGTTCAACGAACCTGTCTGCGACGACGTGCGTGAAGAAACCGTCCTACGGAGCGGACGCACTCTCCTGCGGCCCGCAGCTTCTGCTACCACGGCCATGGCATCCGACCTGGCCACCGCGGGTACCGAAGGCAGCCCGCTGCCTGCAGGCGTCCTTGCCAAACCACAAGGTGACTCCACTGACTTGGCTTCGCAAACCGATTCCTTGCCCAGGGACGCCGTACACGCTCCCTTAGACTTCGCCTCAGGTACCATCCCTGGGCAACGCAACGTCAGTACCGTCACCAGAAGACAGGCGTAATTCCTCGCCTGTAACCACCAGCGAACTCTGCACAGTTCGGCAGGCCATCGCTACTTCGAGCCAGCGTCTTGCAGACGCCACCGTCATTTTCTCAGCAGCCTGTGCACGCACCACGTTTCCTCCTCCGTCTATGGCAGAAATTGCTGACTTTACTGGCGTTGATCAAGACCCAACCATCTGGCTGGATGACATTCATTCATTGGCCCGTCGACATGCATGGACTGACGATGTGACGCTAGCACTAGCCGTAAGCCGACTGCACGAGTCCGCCAAAGCGTGGCATCAATACAATGGCTGCAAGTACAAATCCTGGAGTGACTGGACTACAGCCTTCGTCACGGCCTTCCCACCACTTCCATCCGCATACGACGACCACTTCATGCGCATGCGATCGCGTCGGCAGTCTCCATCGGAAGACGCCCGTAAATACGTCTACAATAAGCTCGGTCTTCTCGACAACTGTGGTATTACATGGTTCTCTCCGGCTGCCCGCCAGTATGTCGTTGATGGCTTGGCTGACCCTACCCATGCTGCCATCTTATCTTGCCAGTCATCTGAAGCGTCACCCCAGGTTTTCGCTCAAAAGGCAGTCGAACTTAAGCAGAACTCTCGTCGTCGGCTTAGCTTGGACACATTACCGAGTGTCTGTTCGACTTACGCCTCCACACGACACGGATTCTTCAAGTGTGGTCGCATTGGCCACAACGCCAAGGAGTGTCGTCAACCTTTCCAGACCCGAATCCACTACCAAGCTTGTCAAACTCCTCGGATGTCTATTCATGTTGAGGGAATAGGTGACCTAACTGCTCGTGTGGATACCGGTGCGGAACGAACGGCGCTACACCGACGTCATGCTCCGGACACTATCCGACCGTGGACGCAACCTCCCCTCTGCGGACTTGGAGGAAGTGCTATGCCAGACGGAATGCTCGACATTTCAGTCCGGACGGCAGTGGGCACTAAAGTTCTTCCAGCCATTCCCGTCTTTGAAGACCTCCCTGCCGACATCATCCTTGGTGCTGACTTCTTGCTTTCTGACGACATTGAGCTCACCATACATCGCGGCCACGTCGAGCTCCGGTCTTCGACAGCTGGGACTACCGCCACAACCCCACCACCACAGAGAGGTGAGCCCTCCACTCTGCCTACCTTATCTTCTATATTGGCATGCCATCAGCCAGTATTCGCTAGCAATACAGCAGAACTGCCAGGCACTAATTTGCTGCTCCATCGCATGCCAACGGGAGATCATCCGCCAATATGCGTACCACGGCGACGATACGCTGAACGAGAACGGGCAGTGATCGCAGAACAAGTAGATGAAATGCTTGCCGCGGGCATTACTAGGCCGTCATCGAGTCCGTGGGCAGCGCCAGTCGTCCTTGTTCGCAAGAAAAATGGATCACTACGCTTCTGCGTGGACTACAGGCAGCTCAATAAGTGTACAATACCCGATTCTTACCCTTTACCCCGCATTGATAACGCTGTTGATACAGTACGTCAGTGAAAGTTCTTTTCGTCACTTGATTTACACGCAGGGTACTGGCAGATTAACGTCGCGGGGGAAGATAGATGTAAAACGGCCTTTCATACACCTTTCGATTTGTATGAATTCAACTGCATGCCGTTTGGACTAAGAACGGCTCCTAAAACTTTTCAGCGTGCGATGAATTCAGTGCTCGGACCATTGAAAAACCAAGCCTGTGTGGTGTACTTAGACGACATCCTGGTCGTTGGCAGGACCGAGGATGAACACCTTCGCAATTTGGACGAAGTACTACACAGACTCTTTGCAGCAGGGTTTCGTTTGAACAAAAAGAAATGCCAGTTTGGGGTGTCCAAGATTTCGTACCTGGGACATAATATATCTCCTGTCGGCATTCAGCCACTCCCGGAGCGAATAGCTACCGTGGCGCCGTATCCCACACCAACGTGTTTGAAGCAGGTTCAGTCATTTCTGGGTATGGCGTCGTATTTGCGAAGGTTTATTCCCCACTTCGCTTCGATCGCAGCTCCCTTGAGTGGTCTTCTTAAAAAAGACGCGCGGTTTGAATGTGGCGTCTCGCAAGAAAATACTTTTCGAGCTATAAAACAAAAGCTCACTTGTTGCCCCATACTAAGTCACTTCAATGAAGACTGGTCCACCAAAGTGCACACTGATGCCAGCCAAGTCGGCCTAGGAGCTGTGTCAGTGCAGCGTGATCCAGATGGCGTGGAACACGTGGTTGCTTATGCCAGCCGAAAACTTTCAGACACCGAGCGCCACTATCACTCCAATGAGCTTGAATGTCTTGCAGTGGTATGGAGCGTCGATGATAAGTTTCGACATTATCTTTTCGGGCGTAAATTCACTGTTGTGACTGATAATGCTGCTATAGGATGGGTGTACTCCAAGCAGCAACTCAAGCACAAATTGCCCGGTGGGTAATCACGCTGCCAGATTACGATTTTGACGTGCGCCACCGCGCCGGGGGGCTAAACTACGTCGCCGATGCACTCTCACGGAACCCCCTTGACTGCGCCTAACAAACCAGGCAAACCCACATTTTTTTCGCCCAGATGGATATATCACGAGCCCAACAGGAGGATAAAGATTTGGCATCCATCATTGCATCTATCACTGACAAGGGAAATCACAGTACTTTTGTGATGCGCAATGCCGCATTGTACCGGCGTCACTGGCGAGCGGACCGATCCGAAGAACGTTACCTCCTTGTGATCCCCAAATCCCACAGGTCAGAAATATTACGAGGCATTCACGACTCCCCAGAAGGCGGACACACCGGCCAACGAGCCACACTCCGGAAACTACAAGAACGTTTTTGGTGACCGAAGATCCAAAGTAGCGTCCGTTCTTATGTCGCCAGTTGCAAAATCTGCCAGCCGTTTAAGCGACTGCCTGGGTGTCAACCTCGATTACTAACACCAATCCAGATACCCGAAAACGTTTTCCACACGATTGGCCTTGATTACATGGGACCTCTACCCACCACCACTGCGGGAAATCGTTACGTCATTGTAGCAGTAGACTACCTGTCAAAATACGTAGAAGTGGAGGCCGTGCCATCTCTTGCATCCACTTACCTAATCGACTTCCTCAAGCACCAATTCGAATGGAGACATGGCTTACCAAAAAAGTTAATATCTGATCGGGCTACAACGTTTCGTAGCGGGGAACTGAAAAAGTACCTTTGCACGGCAGGCGTGCAGCACCACTTCGCATCCGCGTTTCATCCGCAAGCAAACAGCCTTACTGAGAGAACCAACCAGAGCATCCAGGCACGACTCGCTCCATATACGAAGGCAGGGAAAAGAGGAGAGGCCGACTGGGACTTCCACTTTCCGTCAGCCGCTTTTGCGAATAACACCGCGCTGCAGACGTCTACCGGGGAAACGCCCTACGAAATCGTTTATGAGAAACTACCACAGCTGAAAGCGGTCCTCAGTCTGGATGCTCCCATTAAAATTTCACGTGCCAACGATCGCGAAGCGGCCTGTCAGAAGATCCGAACTGAGGCGATCAAGAAAGCCACGCACGCACAAGAAAATCAAAAGCGCCACTATGACAGACGCCGTAGACCCGCTCCTGCTTACAACATCGGTGACGAGGTCTGGGTGCAAAGGGGCACCAGCAGGCCTGGCAAGAAGCTACTTTCTAAGTTCGACGGGCCATTCATAATACCTCAGCGTGTCGGAGAAAATACCTGGCGTGTAAACACCTCAGATGCAAACTTCAGTCTCGTTAAACACAAAAGAAACAACTTTGCCGTACATGTGTCGCGCTTGAAAACAGCAGTCAGACCGCTGCAGGTGCAATGAACTGTAATTTCTTTTTTTTTGTCAGTTCCGCAGTGTGGCCGAATGTAACGAAGAGCGGCGCGGCAGCTGTAGGCCATGGGCTTAAAAGCGAATAAGAAGAGGCAGAATAGAACAGCTTGCCCGACGAACGGGTGTTGTGTCTGTCTCGCTTAATACAGTATATATATATATATATATATATATATATATATATATATATATATATATATATATATATATATATATATATATATATATATATATATATAGTTATTTATTTATATATATCTTTATATAAAGGAAAGAAGTATATATGAGCTTCTCGGGCACTCTTAATCACTCAACAAAAAGAAGTGCACGGGAACTGAACATAGCGGATCACTTGCGCAGGAACACACATGCTTGAAATTGTTCAATGAATGGGTCCCTTGACTATTTTCTTCAGCAAAACTTCTAGCACTATTGTGATTCACAACTGATCAGCCATTGCAAGCATCTTATAATGAAAGAATGTCTGACCGAAAAGCAGGTACCTTGGATAGCTCTTTCGCTGTTGTCAGGTGTCCGAGCCAATTATTGCTCCAATGACTGCGCATAAGCAGAGTGCCAAAGTTTGAGGATGTTAGCCGACTTTGTCGCTCTTGACAACAGGTTTGACTGGCTCGCTGCTGCTAGACACTGTGCATGCAGAGGACTAAGCACAATTTTCTGAAACAATACATTCACTAATTTCTTAAAGAATAAGGCAACTCAAAGGGCATTCTCAATCACACAATCAGAGATCAAGTGAAGCCTCATGTTTAGGCAAGTCACAAAGAAAGTAAATTGCTTATAAGGGAGCACAACAAACAGCAGGCAGCGAAATTATGCCAGTGAATCTTTTTATGCTACTTATTCCACTTCCACTCATCAACACAGATCATTACACTGCTTTGTTACACCTAAACTTCACGCCTATTAGACAGCATTCTCGCCTCATCACACAAAATTTTCTGTTTTCACCCACCTGGTCCACAGAGCCACTCCCGTTCTTGTAAATTTAGAAACACTTGAAGGCTGTCACTTCACTTTTCTTATTTCATATATGTTATGTTATTATGCGTACAACCAGCTGCCCAAAACATGTGATTAAGTAACAGATTCAAGTATCTTTTTTCTGCTTTAATGGTAATTAGTAGAACATGTTAAGCTGTAGCGCACATACAGCGGTAGACCGCCGTGCATGAGCCACTCTTACCCCCTTTGTTTACAGCATGTTTCGAGTGTATACGCCGGACTTCTCAGTTGCTTAAGATTGAAAAATTAAATGTTTCACGGTGTTTTTTGATGTTATCATTCTTTGATTACCCACTTTGACCGGCAAGCTCCCTTTTGTGCTATAGAAAAGAGGTGCTGTCGGTGCCTCGCATACCTCCCAAGGGAATAAAGTTTGCACCAAGAAAGACAGTGTAATAAAAATTACCTTAAGAGAGCCCAAAAAAGCACTGGTAGCATCTGCAGTTTTTTGTCCTGCTTGCACAGTAAAAAGTGGCGACATGCCTTCAAGATGTGTCTTTCACCACCACCTTGCCACCTGGTATGGACCCCTGACTGCTTTCAGTGAATGACTCCACAAATTTCGGCAGGCACGGTGTAGAACTCTTGTCATGCTTGTTGACCTTCTCCTCCCGATATCTGCAGAGCAGGACATTGAAGCCATGAGGCACGATTGGCAGCTAGTAAGCTAATGACGACCCACAAAATACGGTGTCACATCTGGAGCTGCACACTGGGGCACAATCAGCAGCAGCTAGTACGGTTACAAGAGAACTATCTGCGTTTGCCTCTGAAAAAGCTTGGGCAAGCTGGGCGAAATCCTTCCTCCAGTCTTCTACGTTCCTCTCCTTAACTGCACTGACATCAAAGCGGCTCAGCAATGGCAAATCATGGCCAACCTCACATACTCTTGGACAGTCCACATTCTGAAGGCTGCTTCTGTTTACAGTGTGACCCCGTGGCCGTCTCCAGTACTGAGGCAGATCAATGCATGACAAGTGAGCCGGAACCTCTATAAATCATTTCTCTTGCTGCAGTAGAAGTACGTCAAGCACTGCCGCAAAATGGCTGCAAAGATGCTTGCCAGCAGGGCACTCGCATTTTCCATCGAGCACACTACCATCGCCTTTGATGGTGGCAAAAACAAGATAGGGGGGCTGTGTTTTCTTTTTGCTGCGGTAGCAGCGTACTTGTATAAAGTAGCTGTCGTTCCTGCATAGAGCAAAGAAAAGGGAATCTCACATAAAATTGTTTGAACATGATTCAGGGCACCCCTTAATGTATGCATGCATGTTTAGGCAGCCTAAATCACTTTGTGAAATAATTGTTACGATGGTTGGACAGCAGCGTAATCGAGAAGAAACCTCTATGGAGCCAAGAACATTTCACTTGAGTACATAGACTTAAGTTAAGGCACCATAGACATTCGCCGATGTAAGGTACCCAAAGGGTCCAAACTAGTCCTGTCTTCACAGGAATATCTCTAGGTGCTTCTTATTTGTGGCAAGCACACGCGATGCCCCCCTCCCCCGTTTCACTTCTGCGGTTTTCGTATGGTCCATTTGAACCGCAACGACGCCTCATCCACAAAAATAATCTAGGTTGCAATGACTTTTAGAGCTAGATGCAGGAGATAAAAAATAGAAAATCCGGGAATAGATTGGCTTCAATTGCGATCAAAAATTGTCACACGAATATTTGTTCGTTTCGCGCAGCGCTACATGCAGCGACCTTGGCTTTCTGTTCTAGGGTATCCCAGTGCCTGCGTTCACACTTACACCTTTTCATTCACTTTCAATACCCTTCATATTAGCATAAGAAGCAGTGTAGGAGGTACAATTATGAAAATTCACTCAAAAAATGTATCCGTAAACGGAGCGAACGCAGACGTCGGCGCTGAAACCGCCATAAGCGAAATTTGAGCGATGAGGTGAAATGTAGCTGCTCACTTTTCTTGCTCATAGCAGGCACGTAGAGTCGCTGTGATGACATAGCTTTCCGTGAGAAGTTTGTAGCTCCGGCGAGCATTTTTTTTTTCGTTCCGGGCGCGCATGCTAGTTGCCTGTGGTCATGGTCCTGCAGCCATGACAGCCGAGCAAAGTGTTTGTCCTACCCCTTGAAGGATACAAATATTGCTCATTGTGCAGCGGAAGCATCTCAAAATGCTCATCAAAGAGTACTGGGAGCTCGTTCAAGCTACTAGGCAGAGCGATTGCAGCGGAAGATATGGAGAACTCGCCCCCGACACAAAAAACATCACAACACTTACGCATTTAACGGTTGGCCCTCCATGCCCTCATGATGGCGCTAGCTATCCCAAACTCCTTCGCGAAGCGAAACTGGCGAAAAGCTCGCCGTCAAGTGGCGTATTTTTGAAAAGAGTCTATACGTTTCGACATGACGCGGTGCGCGTGTTCGCCGGCGTTCATTTCGTCGCGTCACGCCAGGCACTGTCCTGTCATATACTCGCTGGCGCACGCCGCACTGCGTTGCTTCGACACATGTGCGTTTTAGCGTGTCCGGCGTGCCTCCGTCACAAGAAGAGGGAGACGCGGTGTTGTCTGGGTAACGCATCGGCATAGAGTAATGTTACTCTATATCATCGGCGCGAAATGCAGCATGTCACATTTCGTGCCAGTAGCTGTCGGGCTAGACTGACGGACGCTGGTCGCATCTGGCGTCAGTCTATATAGTGCTCGCGTTTTGCAAACGTAGCGTCGCTGTGCCCAGCGTGCGCATGCATCAACGCTACATTGGGGTATAATTGGTCCTTCATAATGCGCTGGCTGCCATTGAGCTAGCTCTACATACATCAACCAAATTCAATTATTCAATCAACCAAAGGAACAAGCAGGATTTCGAACAGGCTACACAACAATCGACCACATTCATACTATCAATCAGGTAATAGAGAAATGCTCAGAATATAACCAACCGCTATACATAGCCTACATAGATTACGAGAAGGCGTTTGATTCAGTAGAAATATCAGCCGTCATGCAGACACTGCGGAATTAGGGCGTTGATGAAGTATATATAAACATCCTGGAAGAAGTCTACAGGGGATCAACTGCTACCATAGTGCTTCATAAAGAAAGCAACAGAATACCAATCAAGAAGGGTGTAAGGCAGAGGGACACAATCTCTCCAATGCTATTTACCACGTGTTTACATGAGGTTTTCAGAAGCTTAGAATGGGAACAGTGAGAAATAAGAGTTAATGGAGAGTACCTTAGTAACCTACGCTTCGTCGATGACATTGCATTGCTGAGTAACTCAGGGGACGAATTGCAACTCATGATTACGGAGTTAGACAAGGAGAGCAGAAAGGTGTATCTTAAATTGATTCTGTAGAAAACGAAAGTAATGTACAACCACCTCGGAAAAGAGCAGCGCTTCGAGATAGGTAATAGTGCACTTCAATTTGTAAAAGACTATGTGTACTTAGGTCAGGTAATAACCGCAGAGCCGAACCACGAGATTTAAGTAACTAGAAGAATGCGGTGGAGCACATTTGGCAAGCACTCTCAAATTATGAAAGGTAGATTGCCACTATCCCTCAAGAGGATGGTATATAACAGCTGTATTTTGCCGGTAGTTAGCTACGGAGCAGAAACCTGGAGACTTACAAAGACGGTTCAGCTTAAACTGAGGATGACGCAGCGAGAAATGGAGAGAAAAATGGTAGGTGTAACCTTAAAAGACAAGAAGAGAGCAGAGTGGATTAGGAAACAAACGGGGGTCAAGGATATCATTGCTGAAATCAAGAAGAAATGGACATTGGCCGGGCATGTAGCGCGTAGACAGGATAACCGCTGGTCGTTAAGGGTAACTAACTGGATTCCAAGAGAAGGCAAACGGGTTAGGGGGAGACAGAAGGTTAGGTGGGCAGATGAGATTAAGAAGTTTGCGGGCATAAATTGGCAGCAGCAAACACAGCACCGGGTTAACTGGCGAAACATGGGAGAGGCCTTTGTCCTGCTGTGGACGTAGTCAGGCTGATGATGATCATGACTAAACGTGGATATAAGAGTACGAGTGTAAGACAAACATGACTGACACATCATGACTTGAATGGCTTGAAAGACCTGTCGCGTAAATGACCTGTGTCGAAAGAACTGTCGCGTAAAAGGCTGATGATGATGATGATGATGATGACATACATCAAATTTGGTGCTACGTGACGTCAATGGATGACAAAATATATGACTGGTGCAAAAATTATAATCCTGGCATGCGTGCCACGTCAGAACATGACAACATACTACGCTCATAGCGCGTTCACGGCCGTTTCGCTAGCTCCAGATATACTAAATTTGGTATCACAAGACGTCAATAGATGACGAAAGTAAATGACACGTCCAAACATCACATTTACCTCCACCTCGCAACGGTGTGCTGATTTCAAAGTGACATAACCTTTCTCATTCATGCTTCGCATAGCATCGATTCTCAATGTGCGTGGGATCTCCCCATTTTTAAAAGATGGAGGTAGTTTTGACGTCATCTACTCTGGTAATCTGTAGCACGAACTTTTAAAAGAGGTAGCTGCTGCAGTAGATACAAAAAACGGCCTGTTGCACAGCCCTTGGAGACAACGGCCCTGAGAGACAGTCAGGCTGTATCAGCTCTCTGTATCAGTATCATCTGAATGGTCAGCCATAATTTTCACTACACATTTTATGTCTCTCTCGTGATTTACGCATACCTTTCTGTATTACTCTCCGTTAGTGCGAACAATTTTAAGCCTCCGTACAGCCAGTCATCACACCTACTTCCCACATCTTTGTGTCATGTATTGGCGCTTTTTAACCATCACATGGATCTTGCGCCAATAAACACCATATAACGTCAATATAATAATAATTTCGGCGGGGGGGGGGGCAATCTGTAGCGTCATCAATCAGCATCATTGCTATTCATCATGATCCTCATTTTTCAGCCACCGCAGCGGGCCTCTCGCGCACCTCAGGCTGAGCTCGTGGAACAAGCAACCGATCGAAAAAACGCGCCGGTAGTGTCGAATGCAGGCAGCCGCCGCCACTCTGCTTTGTGTCCGATAATAAAGTGGCGAGATCTGCAGAGCCACGTAGGCTGCATTCACGATGTGGTCTGTCGTCTCCCTCTCTCGCTGCACGTGGCATTACCCAAAAACGACGACTACCCTGCGTCCACTGGGTGCAAGTCCGAATTTTCCCGAAGGCGCAAATGAGCACATGCGATCTATAACGTGTCGGAAAAGATTTCGGTCGAAATCTGTCGCAAACTATGCTTTAGTCAGAGAGGATCATTTTTAAGGCACCCATAAAAATTTTGATTAATCGATTGAAACATCATGTGAAGAGCAATCAATTGAATAAAGGCTAAATCTATGAACGAACAACAATTATTCGATTAAATTTTAATGCACCATCCCTGGTTGCAACGCCGATGCTTTCGGAAGCTGGTGCTTTGAGGTGATCTCAGGCATGCTAAGCTCACCCGAGATACAAGTCCTGCTGGCTACTTTGCTGATGTGTCTCACCAAGGTGGACGGCTAAATTTAGCTGGCCAATCGATACAAAGGGCTCACGAAAAATTTCAAGATGGAATAGGCGTTGATATACTTCTACACCACGTTGTATAAG